GTTTATTTTTGTTTTAACTTGTTCTTCTATACTTGTTCTATTTTCGTCTAAGTTGTCTAGGTAAAAAATAGAATTCTAGGAAAAAATATCAAACTCTTTTCTATGGTATACACTATATATCATATCTTTGGTATATATACGCTATATACATATCTATGCATATGTTCTATACACATAGATAAAAAATATAAAAGTAAGAAGATCAAAAATTTACCTAGACAATCTGAACAACCTAGACGACTAGTCTAAAACCTTTTCTTTCGACGAAAAAATATTAACTAGCTATCTTTTTTCGTCCAAGAAATTCGTCCAAGAAAAAATTCATCCAAGAAAAAGTGGACGCGACTCCCCAACATACACCTTCATACTATGTATTTTTTTCTGCCACCTTCTCCAGCTTTTTCTGATGTCTATACTCTCTTCTACGATGTTTCTGTATATGAGTATCACAATAACTATAACCAGAATTAGTTAACTTAATACAACTATATTCTTTGCAAGGATAATGAATAGGTGAATCCTGGTGAACTTTACACCCATTAGGATGATAACATGGCCGATTACAGACTTCACCAGTTCTAGAAATAGGGACAATGATAAAATACCATTCTTTTTGATATTTATCTTGATTGAGTATATAATATGTATTGATTAATATTCTTTAGAATTAATTTTCATTTTGAACTTTTTAATTCCGAATAATATTCTTTCAGAAAAAATATGAGTACCCAAAATGAACATAGCATGCCTATTGTACCTGATACACCAACTATAGATAACTCAGAGAATTTAGAGCCAGAATTTGAACCCAAGCCAGAAGAAAATAATGGGCATTATACTTCTGGAGGTTTAGAGCTGAGAGCGTGGCTGAATATATGTATAAAATCCGTGATGATAGTGTAAAACCAAGGCAATTTCTTAGTACAGATTCTGAGGATGGAATAGAGGCTATTCTCATAGAATGTCAGGGCTATTCATTACATAAATATATTAGTAGAGATGGCCCACTTCGCCCTATTATCGATTTTGATTTATCCAGAGAAAAATTTGATAAAATCGAACTCAAGCTTTTATCCAAAGAAATACAGGATTTACTTTGCCATGCTTTTTCAAGAACCTGTAAAGAAATATATTCAGAATGGGATTCCCATACTTTAACAATTGCTAGCAGTAGTGATAAGAAAAAAATATCGCTTTATATCTCAACTTTTGGTCTTCATCTCAAAAATATTGCCAAAGTTGCAATATTTACTGAGCTCATTCGCAAAAAACTCCCAGTTAGTTTATAAAGCAAAGATATTGTTGATAACATTACCAATAAAAACCTATTTTCTTTGCGAATACTTGAAACACCAAAATTTATTGAAAAAACTAACGAGCATATGCGAATAAAAAAAGCAATATTTCCAAAAGATAGTTCTGTCTTTGATTTTATGCTCTGCTTACCTAATGATGAATCGCCTGAAGTAGTCAGTCCTCTTTTAGTTATTTCAGAACCTGCATCAACAAAAATTTTTAACACATGTACTGAAACTACTGAGGATATTAAAATCGAACTCAATTTGATTGCAAAATTATTAGAAGAATTTGAAATCAGAGGATATGAACTTTCAAGTCCATGTGAAAATTTTCCCAATAGTTTTCTTCTTAAACAGGTGACTCCAGCATTTTGCTCATTATGTTATCGAGAATATGGTTATAAAGATCCACATACAAGTGATAATGCGCATGTTATTCAAAACAAGAAATCGTATAGTTTCTATTGTCATCATGCGAATAATAATAGGGAAGCTGGATCTAGAAAACCTTCAATAAAGTTGACCATTAAAGAAAAAACTTCAGAACAAGAAGAAAGTCTTGCAGTTCTAGAAAAATTAAACCAGCCTAGAATAACGGATCCAAATAATCATTTTGTATGGGGTGACTTAATAGATATATATTCATCAGGAGAAAAGTATACCCATAGTAAAGTTTATGAAGCTATCCAAGCAACAATTGCTTATATCAATAGAGAAAAAAAGTTTTGGATATTTAAAGTTGAAGATGAAGATGAGAATAGCAGACTTACCTTTGAATTTGTGCCTAAACTAGAACTTGCTAATTATGAAGTTAATATAGTTGAATTTGGAGGGGGAATCGATAAAGTTAAGGTCATTAATAGATCGAGCAGTTACCAAAGATCTAATTCGTTATCACAAAATAAACTTTCTTCCATACTCACCAAACACAATTCCACCAAAAACAAATTTCTTTAATCTTTTCCTGGGATTTATAGCTAAACCAGCACTAAAAATTAAAAAAGAAATTATAGATCCTATCCTCTGGCACATAAAAAATGTAATCTCTGATGAAAATGAAAAGCTTAACAATTATATCTGGAACTGGTGAGCATATTTAATACAAAAACTAGAAAAGAAACCTCATTCAATATGTGTATTAAAGTCTACTCTTCAACAATGTGGAAAAAATATTATCATTAATTTTATTGGTAATAAAGTCTTAGGACCAAAGCTCTATTATGCAACATCTGATCTAGGAAAAATTCTTGGAAAATTCAACAGTCTTATTCAAGGTAAAAAGCTAGTAGTTATAAATGAGACCAATATGTCTAGTGGAGAATGGTATAAATTTAATGGTCATCTCAAATCCCTTATAACGGAACCAAAAGTGTCTATAGAACGTAAAGGTCTTGAACCTATTCATTTAAAAGATTACTTAGCATTTATAGTTACAAGCAACCAGGATGCCTCACTTAAAATAGATGCAGGGGATGCTCATATAGTTTGTTTTGATATATCTGCGTGCTATAGAGGGAATATACTATATTTCAAACTTTTGGCTAAAATACTAGAACATCCTGATGTACCAGGAATAGTTATGTCATATCTTCTTAATCGTGATCTTTCAAATTGGGACCCACAAGATATTCCTAGTACTAAAATGAAAACAGATACAATACTGGAGCATCTTTCCAGCTCCACTCGATTTATAATTAATCGTATTTCGCTATGGTCTGAGGATCGAGTTGAGATACAAAGTTATATGATAATATATTAAGAGTATCGAGCATAGTGTGAAGCTAATGGTGAGAAACTATTTAGTAATAATATATTAGATAAAAAATTTACATATATTAACATCGAAAATAAACGTGCTGGTAGTGAAAAGAGAGAGTGGCAATATATCTTTGACCGATCCAAGATTGTAGCTAAATTGTGTAAATTGATAGAAGTTATCAAGGAATTTTCTAATGTATCTCAACCTGAGACACTCGCTAACAAATTCACAGATATACCTATGTTCTACGTACCAGAAATAAAACTCTCTGAACTAGAAAAAAATATAGCCGAGACATCAACTACAGATCATATCGAAAAAGGCAAGGATTCATCTCCCGCACCTATTCCAGCAGTTACTAATATGATCCAGGATCTCTTCAATTATATAACAGGTCAATCGGAATATTCAGTTGCTTCATCATTCAAGACTACTGATATATTCATGACTCCTGAGATCGAATACATAGAACCTGTAGACAATAAATCAGAATCTTCTTCTAAGATCATTGAGGAACTAGAGATTCGAGGCTATGCCTTATCAGTGAATGATAAGCCCGAGACTAATAATGAAGAAGCTAGCACCCAATCGAAAATATATTTACCTGAATATATACCCTGAGCAAAAAAGAAGGCATGTTTAAGAAAAACTGCGATTAAATATGGGGAAGACCCAGATAAGTTCATGACTATAACTGAAGAGAATAGAGACTTAGTGAAGATATTCTGAGATAAAATGATAGCAGACGCAGATATAATCAATTTTGCATGAAAAGATAGGGATGATCCAGAGGAATATATAGAATTGTCTAGGCAAGAAAAATTGATATGTATGGAGATTAAGCTTCGGATGTATGAAGATGATAGTGAATCCCGATCATATACATGTATTTATGATGGTGAAGAATGAGAAAAAAGTATAATGAAACTCGAAGAAAATAG